CTGCGACGGCCTGTCTGCAGCTCGGTTTGTGAGCGTGGCTGTTTTTCCTAAATCTGCAGACCTGACTGCCTGTCTGTCTGAAAGACCCCTACTCGTGCGGAGCGGCCGTAAGTGTACCCAAATCCGACAGTAGAGATATAAACAACCCCTAACAATAAACACATTCTCTGAGTATCTATTGGGGGCCCCCCCGTTTAATATTAGGGGGAAGGATTGCAGCTTATAAAGACCCAAAAAGAGCTACGCTGTGTACACTATGCACCCAAGAAGAGCTTCGCTGGAAGCATCCAAAGAGCTAGCAACCAGCTTTGACTGGGTGTGTGTTTGTGACTGCGTGCTTGCGACTGCCGAGATCTGCATGCTTAAAACCGCTGAGACCCGCACCGAGCACAAGCCAAACGGGCCCGACCTTGGGATCGACATCCCCATCTCACATGGCCCAGAACTCATGCACGCACAGGACGAGGGATCCAGCTCGAGAATGTCAAGAACAATACCACGTTTTGCTGTCGACGCCTGGAAGCAATTGAAGCGACTGCATGCATGAGCACATGTGTCCAGGCCAAAGTAAAGAAATGCAATCACAGAGGTTATCTCGGGTTATCTCTGGCCTCAGCGGTTTTGAGCTGAACCAAATCTCCAACACACAGATGCCGGTGAGCGTGGTAACCAGCTGGCAATGAACATAAAGAAGCACAGCTGTGGGCTTGATTGAAGCTCTGCAAGCATTCCTTGTGAAGCTTCCGTCGCAAGACCAATGCTCCTGAGCGAATGCATTCGCTGTCAATTGTTGCAGTCGCTGACACGTCCAGTACTCCTGGAGTGGCGGAGATGAGTTGATGCGCAAACACAAACAGAATACGACAACTGGAGAAACCTGCTTGCCCAACCAGAAAATGAACATACATAGCGCATGCAGACCTCGTGTAAATCGGCTCTCTGTGTTGTCTTTGGTGCTCGCAGCCGTCCATCCCTCCCGTGGCTTGGACCCTCCTGGCCTATATGACGCGCTCGGTCCATCACTCCCCCCCCCCGGAGTTCGTGCTCAACAGATGAACACCTAGCATGAAGAACAGTTTGCCAACACCGCTTGCGATCTCTCTTCACAGGTGGGAAAGGCTCGGAGCCGGCCCCTTCCACGTGCATTGCGGGATACGACAGGGCCCCGACTTGCTCTTGCTCTGCGTTGGCCTTCTCTTGCAGCTGCTTCTTAAAGCGGTTGGTACGCGAGCTCTGCGTCAGAAGAGTCCGTGATGGTTCGTGTGCAGGGTTTGTCTGATTTCCTTGACACCACCGTGGCTACACGACTCCTGTAGAAACTGCCCAGTCCCACAGCAGCATACCAGGCATGGCACAAAGAATGCAAGTCAGAGTCCAGCTCAAGCTGAGGCGAGAACGGCGCCTGAGGAAGTTGCTCGTGCTCCTCTGGAGGTCGTCTCCAGTCGAAGATCCAGTGACGGCGATTCCAAGCAGGTAACCCACACCTAATTACATACCAGTACCTTGACAGCTGTTGGTGCTGCATGCATGTCGCATCGTTCTTGGAGCTCCCCGGTCGCAGATGCCAACTCAGGGAGCCAGCGCAGGAGTGTGGGAGCGCACAAACAAGACATGCGAGGAACAGTCCTTCGATGTGCAGCCGCACGACCTGAAGGGTGAACTGCAATCCATGGTGAGCCATGACATTTTGTGTGGATAATCTCACGAGCGAATCACGCGCAACGGAAGCCAATGTCGGCTGCAGCAAGCTGGAAGCACTTGCCTGATTCGATGTGCAGAAAGAATAAGCTCAGGCATATGGCCAAAGTTGGAACGTTGGATATGTTGATTGCCCCAGCATGCCCAGTCAAGCTTTACACGGGCACCAGTACCTCTGCGACTGAAGCCTTCGCATCCGCTGCATTCTGGCCTCCTGGATTACGAGTGATAAGCGGCAGGCACATCACGGTATGAAGTAATGCCAGTTGCCATCCTGCAGTATCCACGATGTATTCCCAGCAGGTCCTGGAAGCAACCACTGCTGCAGGTGAAGGATTCCTGAAACAGATGATTGGGGCCTGCTGCAGCATCAGGCATTCTGCCGTGGCAGCTGCACGGAAGCCACACGAACGGCCGGCCGAACTCTCACACCCCGAATACATGAGCGCTGGGGCTGTGCCTACTTCACTTCCCAACTGTCCAGATGTAGTGCTGACTCTGACTGCTTTCGACGTTGACATATCTGATCATACATGGCACTTGTACCCGCTCAGACCGCTTCGGCTCCGACAGAGTTTTTATACGCCACGTTTCAGGCCACAACTCTACAATGGGAGTTCGTGCGAGTCTGACTGCAAGCTCAAACTACACAGTTCCCTTCAGGAACGTGTGGATGTTTGTCTCCAAAGTTTGTGGCAAGTCAAGCGTGGCGGAACAACGTGCAGGAATCTGCTCTGAAAAGCCTACTAGCAGGAGTTGGTCATGACGGGCCACTGGAGACAGGCTCGCAATCTGCGTGAAACTGTTTGGTTCCGGGTTGAAGAACTGCTTAGCTGCTTAGCTTTGGGAACACCGGATTGCCCGGCGGCCTGGCGATGTTTTTTTGATAAGTTGCTTTCTGGTATGCACTCAGTCATCCTTCAAGGCAATGAGCTGGTTCGCCTTGTGAATGTCACACGGCCGAAATACCTGCAGTCAGGCTCACCGCTTCGTTCCTGTCCGCAGCACTTTCTGAGGTTCCCGGCCAGTTCGCGCATTGGAATATCCTCCTGACCACGTATGAGGCGCACATCTTATGAACCCTTTTATCACAGCAGTAGCCGTCATGCTTGGCAGCATGGAAAGCCGGTGATCCACGATTCGACCAAACAACCACATCATAACGAATCACTTCGACAAGGCTGTACGAGACAGATGGCGGCTTGCTGTCGTTCCTGATAATTGCCCGAGTGACGCCTTTCGAATGGCATTTTCCATTTCTACATGATACAGAGTGTTGGTGGTTTGATTTAACTGCCGACTTTGTGCAATCTTTCTTTCGTTAGGGCCATGGACTAGGGGAGCTCCCCTAGCCTGCGCGCTGTCGCGCCCCCAACCGTTTTGGAGGGGCTGGAGAAGCACAACTACACCACCGATGCACAATCTCTCTCTCTCTCTCTCTCTCTCTCTCTATATATATATTATATATATTATATATATATATATTTATTTATTTATATTATATATATATGTATATATACTCTGGTACTGATTACACTGCAAGCAGTGTCCCACTAAATGCTGTACCACGACCGAAGGTATGCGAGTTAGTGGCAAAAGCAGAGGACTGCACCTTTGCATGCAATGTTTCGCAACTCGTGCAGTAGGCCGTTCCTGTACCTAATGTTTTTACTGACTTTCGAGGTCGTTTTCTAAATCTTCTAAACCTTCCTAGCTTTCTCGCCAGAAACCAGCTGACACGCTCACGTCGCAGCCCAGCTGGTGCAGCATCATAGGTACCGCGGACAAGTTTGGTTGCTTCGCGTCAGGCAACCCCGACACTTCAGACTCTCATCCACTCTTCATGAGTCTAGCTGAGCTGCCGGCGATGTTGCGAGCCGTGTGACACTTGACGCTGCAATCAGCCTAGAGTCTGGAAATGCAGGCCAGCCGGTCCTCCTCTGCCTCTTCCGTCTTGTTGTATCTCATAATGTGGCCCAGCCGTTCCTGTCCCAACATTTGAGCACATCATGCCACTGCCCGACTGTCAGCCGACTGTCCTTCACCACATCATCGTTCTGATTCTCGCGGAGGTGTCGCACAACATGCCACATACGCTTTGCCTCCCAAACAGATTGAGGCCATGGTAGAAGGCCACGTTCCACAAGAACGGGACTAGAACGCTGTACTTACAGGACGCGTGCATTTCAACGTGCACATGCCCATCTACGTTGAAAAAGCATCCACATGTATTTCTGAATTACTGTCCACCTGCATAGCACCTGAATACTGACTGAACCAGTCTCTTACACCTGCCCTGCAGTTACCGTGCCACTAAGGTGAGTCGAGTGCAAGGAATGCCCACGTCGTCAAACAGCATGTTCTTCGTTCATGCCATGGGATCGTCGGACGCGCGACGCCCGATCCCGGGCCCCCACTCCTGCTTTCGTCTATCCTCCTTCTCGCCTCAATCTCCCCGTCTTGTTTGTGGCCCCTTTGCTGAGCTCTTCTGATCTTGTGTATGTCCTTCTCCGTTTAGTTGTATGTTTCCGTGAGTGTACTAGTGCCAGCGTCTGCCTGTTAGGTTTTTCCCGAAAGCATGGCGAAGAATAGCACAGGTTTGAACTGCAAGACTACGGCAAGGCGGTGGGTTGCGAACCGGGTTGTCCTTCGAGTACCGACCCTTCAGTGGCAAAGAAGCAACACACACACACACACACGTGGATCATTGTAATCTGGGATCGCGGTTTCCACGCTGCCCCACCCTCACTGTTGCTTATGTTACTTCTCTGTCCCGACCCCCCCCCCCCTCCCCTTCCAGTTCGCCCCTCTGCCCTGAACACAGCCAGCATGCAGTTGAATACGCTTTTTCTCACTTTCTGTCTCTGCTATCTGCCTTCATGCAAACTGAACTACAATCAGCCGGCTGGGGCCGATCTCCACGCCGGGAGGCCTCCGCTAGCTGCGTTGGAGTGAACCCACCAGCATTGGGGGTTTCCTTTGCATCCGCTCCAAGAAGAAGACGAACGACCTTACCGGGAGAGGTCTCAAACTGACTTATTTCATGTACCCGTGTTCGAAGCATGATTTTGTGTCAGATCTTGGTGTTCACGGTGTCTACACTTCTGTCCATTGCCATTGTTACTCAAAACCAGTTCCTGCTTGTTGAGTATAATAGTGCCAGGTCTTTCCATTCCCTGAGAGGGCCAGGAGGATCTGCGCACAGCACGCGCGTGATGTGGAACTACATTGCATTCCCTCGCACCTTTTTGTGTTCTCCCCTTGCGCTCCCCACGCCTCAAACTGCCGTAAATCACTAGTAATGGAGATATGCGGCAGAAGCCTCACGTAGACATCCCGCTGGTGGGACTCTCAAGTGCTGGGTTACTGTGATCGCATCCGAGCAAGTAAGACTTCAATGCGTTCGTCGTCGTCCAATTGTACGGACAGCATGCTTGGAGCCTTCTGGCACAGGGTGGAGTTTGTCTGGCCTGCCACTTCCGATTGACATTCTTTGTTGGTTATGTCCTGCAGCTGACGACTTTGGTCTTCTGCCCTGAAATGCTGAGGAAGGCTTTCAGGCAGCTGCACACGCTCTATCGCGCTGGTGAGCTGATCGAGGAATTGCACCCAATTGCCAAGCCACTCAGAGGGACTGGTGCTTGGCTTTGCGCTGAGCCAACACATGGTAGATTTCAAATCTTCCTTGGCTGCAGCTATGCGCTGGGAAGTTGTCTGTGCTTCCTCGCATATGCTAGAGACTTTGACGGCAATGCTTCCCACGGATGGCTCCGGCAAATACGGGGCTAAGCCGAAGTGAGCACGAGACGCCGCAAGACAAACTCGCTGACAGTTTGTCTCCGCCTCTTGGATGCATACACCCTGGGCCGCACGCACACTTTCACGCAGGTTCCATGTCTCGGTGCGAAGCTGCGCTTGCTGCTCCCTGGTGTTGGACTGACATACAGCCTCAAGCACAATGGCTTCGGCTACGAAATCCAACAGCGATTGCCCTGATACTCCATCTGCTTCGTTGTTTCCCCGGAGTTCCTCTAGCTTCAGCAGTCCATCTGGTAGTACCACTGCCCTTGCACCATCGCGAGCCGTCCCACGGTTCATGGCATTGCCCACTGCTAGGCATGTGCTGATACATTGGCAAATCAGCTCAGACGTCCTCAGGGCCGTGCAGGCCGTGATCACACGTTCGCATGCCAAGCCTAGTTCTGGCAGCTCAGGTGCCAAACCAAACATCAAGGCACCGCATGCCACTTTTGCCGTACACAAAGGTCGGTTGGCCAAGACCCACAAATATCTCTCCGGCACATCAAGCTGCAGAATGTCCGACTCAGGAATGTCCATGTGCCGAAGCTGCTCAACTGCTTCTTTCTGGTCGACCGATGCCGCGTGGAGAGCTATCAGTGCCTCTGGCGGTAGACCCTCCGGAAAAGCATCAAGGCTCTCCACAGTTTGGGCGAAGTGCTCAGCTGGAGGTAACTTGTTGAAGGCGATGGCAAGTAGTTGGGAAGTCCTGTCATCCAGCACTCGAACCTTTCTTCGGGCTTCATCACCGCTCGGATTGCCTGACGCTCCTTTGCGAGTGATCGCTGCTCTGGTCTCGGTCAGAGCAAAGCGACGCTCCAGCAACGCGGCGTCGAATGGCACAGGCTTGCAAATCCTGCTCCAAATGCTTTCGTCTGGGACATTGCCCACAGTCTGCCAGAAAAGGGGCCTCAGCTTCGGACCGACTTTCACTTGACACTTAGCAGGTCCTGGCCTAGGCGGGGGTGGTGCCCCCGGCTTGCCCTTTCCTTTGCCCGGCGCCCTCCCCGGTGGCAATCCCTTGCCTCGCTGAGACATGCTCTTTGGCACAGTGGCTATATACAGCGCTAGCACCCCAGAGTTCTCAATGCTTTGAGCCATGCCGGCACGCATCACCAAATTGACTTGGAGCAGCTGTCCTTGGTGGCTTTCGGACTTGTGGGCGAAAATGACTCGAGCTTTGCACAGCCAAGCCAAACGATATGCCACGACATGAGTCCCTGAGTTGAGGAAGTGACGCCAAGATGACCAGCGTATGCTCCAAGATGGAGCGGACTGTCACCACCACCTCGGCCATGACCGGCAAGCATTTAACTTAAATGTCATCTTCAGGTCCGGGGAGCAATGCCAGCTTTGCTTCCGATACCCCAGAATTGCCCAAGGTAGCATGACAAACGCAATTTTCCAGCATCTCCTTCCGGACGGTTCCAGGCGCAACCTTTCGCGCGCGCCTTGTTGCTTTGTTTTAATGGCTAAGCGTTTACTTGTCACAGTTTGAATGCTGCTGCTGCTGCTTCTAACGTCGTCACGTCCTGTTCTCAGCGAGCAACATGTAGCGCGGATCAGTGGCAACTGATGAGTGTGAAACCGGTCAGTTCCGCACATTGGCCAAGGGGAATCCATGTAAACCTACTACAAGTATCATATTTTCGGGATCCATGCGCGTGGTTGTGTGCTGCACCAAGCCTGCCGAGACTGCTGCTGAAGTTCCCGCGGGCCGTAGTTCGCCGAAGTCATGAGTGCTAAAGCTTCGCTCAAGCCAAGCGAAATCCGTTGTCGCCCTCCTGTCCGCATTCGCTTGCAAGGACCTTCACAAACCAGCAGCTTTACTTCTGTCGTGCCTGACAGATCGACCTCGTCCGATTCCCATACCCGCTACACCAGCCGCCAGGAAACCCACACGACTCAACCCTAATTTTCGTCAAGTGTAAGGTCAGTCAGCATCTGCGAGAAGCGATATCTCGCTTGGATTTTGCTTGCCTGAACCACAGAAAACCATGCATGTCTGAGGTTGACAAATAAGAAGCGCCATGCCTTTGAGCGGCTTGTGCAGTGCATGCCGTTTTGAAGATGCATCGAGTGTATATTCGGACCACTACCTTGGGGAGCTTGGGTCACTCCCCCAGATCTCAACTGATATCTGACAACCCCTTAGTCTCTTCCTGCATTTTCCTCCTGAGTCTGGTTCGGGCACAAAGGGTGATTTCTCGTCAGCACCGTGAACATCCGCTTAGACCTCTGCTGACTTGACAGGCTACCGGCCACCGCTAGATGTCAGACGGAACAGGAGGTCACGTGGCAGCTGGTGGGGCCATGCCAAAGCCTTCGCTGCACGGAGCCTCAGCCTGGGTGCGGAAGGCCTCGACTTCAACGTCCGTACGGAGATCCGGGTCATGCCGCGGTCGCAAGCATGATGCCCTTGTCATGTCGCCTCTTCTTTCGCATAAATGAATGGTGACCCAAACGTCGAGACTTCGCGCCGGAGGCTAGTCCCATGTCAGACTCACTAGCCACAGCCCGCTCGGCTACTTGGAAGCAAGAAAAGACTTGCTGCAAAGACTTTAGCGGGGTCTGCGCTGAAGTTGTACAGTGACACAATCCAGGAACTGAAGGAACTCGCGCTGGGTTCGGTGCCATCTTCCTGGACAACGTTGAGTTGTTCTCGATATTCCGTCAGGAAGTAGTGCCTCGACTCGCATGCTGGTAGCAGGATGCGAGACGCGGCGACTGCTGAGCACACAGCATCAGGAAATTGTTGCCGGATAAAGCTGCCCAGTGCAAGACCTTGAATCTCCGGCCCGGGAGACCACAGCGGTTCTGGTATCACTTGCAGGAGCGACCCGAGTACTCCTTCGGCTGTGCTGACGCAATACACCATTGGGATATCTCAGCACGGCACGCCCCTTCCAGAGTTATCTTTCTCAGCGATGTTGGCTTGCTGCGATAAGCAGAACCTGGTCACGACGCTTGGCTTCGTCCGCTCCTGCTGTTGAAACACCCGTGCAAGGGACAGTAGTGACCTGTCCCACGAACCTGTCATAACTCTGCCCGGCAGACATTGCAAGCTCCAGTGAGCCGGTGCGTGCTGCGCGGAGCAAAAGCGTTGCTCCATCCCACCTTACCAGCATAAAGAAGTGCAGCTTTCGACACAAGGCGGGAAGAAGGACGACTCTGATGCTCGCCGTCCGAGGCCGCAACTCAGGGTTTCTCCAATCGATTTTAGCTCCTGTCTTGAGAGCCTCGCATCTACCACGGCTCGCTAAAGATTGAAACCACACACATTCACTGTTCTGGCCTTCTTGACAGATGGAAAGCTACTATCGGCCTTGTTAAGCTTGGCAAGAAATGCCTGAGAAATAGGCTTGGGCAAAGTTGCAGCCGGAAGTTCACACATCCGATTGTTGCCGCCTGATTAGTTGCTCCAGGCTCTTCTTTCTGCAGCCTTTTGATCTCATCCTGAGCGCACAGTGGTGGAAACAGAATCCAACATGCAGTAAGAATGTGCAGGTCTGCCTTGATGTATTTCTCGCTGCCATGCACAGCCGTCCAAAGCTTTCTGCAGGCTGCTTCGATCTGCGCAGGCACAAGCTTTGCGCAACACTGCAGATCATCTTACAAACCTCTCCTGTTTTTCTTTCGGGTCATCGGATGAAGCCGAGGCAGCTACCTCAGCCAAGGCCACGGCACATCAGCGCTGCAGAGGACATGCGAAAACGTGGAACGAACCCATCGAGAGCCCGGCCGTTTTCGAGCCAAGGGAACCCCTGACCATGAATCAGGTCTGCAACAATGCTATTGCAGCTCCTCCGCTTGCGCTACGCATCGACTGAGCTCTTGTCTTCGAACTTGATTTTGCAAGGCCAGGCAAACTAGAGGTCGAAGAAACATGCCAGGTAGGAGGCAGCCTCAAGCACGCTGCACATCCCCACACAAAATGTAAAGATCTCGACAACACAACCCTTCACTGAGCAGAGAACGGTTGCACTGCTGCTGGCCATTTCTCGACCTGCACTGCGCCGCCAATCACTGCCAGCAACTAGTAACTAGCACAGCGAGATTAACTTGCCGGTTGACACTGAGAATGCGCGCCATGCGAGATCCCAAAGTTGGAACTGATCTCGTCCGCATCCTGGAGGCAACTGTGGAAAACATTGGAAAACGACTGTAGGCACCGCACAAGCCGTCAAGGAACTTAGCAAGCGACATGGACGTCTGACTGAGATCTTCGAAGCCGCTCATCTTGCTGGTGGACTGGCTGAGCGAAGTCCTCTCGACTTCAAAACCGCGCTGTCTTAACACGTTGTAAGACACGACATGTTGAAGTTGCGGTGGGGTGAACGGAAGCCCAGGTATCTCTTTTACAGCAATGCATGTCAACCTCCCTGGGGCGTGCCATTGCTGTGCAGGTGAGAGTGGAGTCAATATTGCGTATAGTGTTCGCGCATGACCTCAGAGCCCACCCGCGAGTCGTAAGGCTGGCGGGCAGAGCGCGAATTAACCAACCTTGCCGCTGGAACTTCACACGGTTCTTTTGACATACCGTCAATACCAACTTGGTAGAAGAGAACCGGGGGTTCGTTGGGCGAGCCTTGTTTGTTGAACAGCTGGGCTGCACTGGCATGTCTAAGCTAGTTCTTCCGAACCTGGCATGAACCCAGGTCCTTCCAGCCAAACTGCCTGTCTTGACGAACGAGCGGGACGCACCCTCGCATTGCATGGCATGTGCTCTGCGAGATGGAGCAAACCTAGGCTTCCACCGCGCCTTCCTGAGAACACGGCACCCGCTACTGCGGGCAAAGGCTTCGAATCCACCTCAAATGCGCTCAATGACCAACAGAACCAAAGATAAGCGATTATGCTCTTTGCCCCTTGTTCATATTCATTCGTATCTGCTACTGTACGACCTGAGAGCCTTTGTACTGCTGGGATTCCGCATGGCAGCTCTGAAAGAAAGTCGCTGTCTCGACTCTGCTCAGCCGGACTCCCAATCAACGACATCTTGGCGACTGACCGGTCTCAGCAACAGCCGCAAAAAACTCCGGCGATTCCTGCAAACAAGGGGAACTCAAAGTACGGCGCAACGCTGCGCATGTTGGGTCCACGGATGGGATTTGTGTGAGGGCCCTCTTACAGGTGAGGTTGGGGAGGACACAACGAGATTGGGCCCGTATTCATTGCATGGTTATTGAAGGACCCTGCCGCTGAGCCGTTCCTTGTTGATGTGAGCAATCGTTGGTTGGCACATTGCCAGGAATGAGAGTTGTCGTCTCACCGTTATCACACAAACAATGGGTGGGAGTGGTGGGAGTATGATCTTGCGGGGGTGGGGTGGGGTTGGCGTAGCCTTGGGGAGGTGCCTCGTGGCTCCGGTTCTCGCATGCTCCCATGCTTTTCAGGCATGTTTGGTAGCGAAGCCATCCGATGGCTTTTCCGGCACTTTTTTGGGGTTTTATGAACTGCATGGACAATCAAGAGAAGGGTGTATGCAGATCAGGTCACCGAGGGGGGCTGGTGTCTTTATGCAACAACTGCAACAACGGGGGCGGTGGCTTTTCCGCCGAAGGCGCAGCCTGCAGCACAGGGACAGAAAGGACGCAGGGATCACATTGTCACAATGCTCACAAAGCACCCCCTCTCTGTTGTTGCCGGGATTTGCCGGGCGCAGGGAAAGCGTCAGGCTTCAAATCCACAGGAAGCAAGGCCATGCCGAAGAAAGAAGATTTGCGAAGCGGCATGTGGCTTCCGAAGACGACTATGCAGAGCCAGGGTTCAGAGTCTCCAGCCCGTGCAAAGACCGCTACGACCGCGAAGTGTCAAGGGAGCCGAGAAAGCGCCGAGAGTACTGCAGGCAAGGTCCTTCCGCAGTATGGTGCTCTGCCCCAAATCCTGTCAATGTGCGAAAAGAAATTGCTCAAGCCACGCCTTCTCGTCGAAAGTCCATCTAAGTGGCAGGCCGGACGGTACACTTCTGCATAGTCGGGCTCTGTCTGCTCAGTGCCAGCTCCAGTGGTTGCAAGTTTTGCCTGCAATGTGTACACCACTGACATACTCGGACCGACAGTCAATATCACAACCCACAGCTCCGAAATGCCAAAAACAAATGCCACGAGGTATGAGTCTGAGGGGATGCCAGGCGAACAGATTGCGATCTCCTAAGCCGTTTAAAGACTCATGACGATTGTTGATTGTTGGGGAAGTCCGTGGAGCTAATGGCTCAGGAGATGAAAAGGGCATATCACAGACATTTCTTCAGCTGTGTCTCTCACTCGAAGACGAGGAAGGGAATAGTCGCCAGACCATTTCAGCATCGGCCTTGCAGCACCGAGCTCGAAGAATTTCTGTCAGCAGCTCTTTCGGCGCTCACTCGGACAATCCAGGCGAGGCATGTGGTTATGAGTCGGCTGAGTGAGACCTCGACGGATTGGAGACGGACATCAAAACACAAACCCCTGTAAACAGCGGGTCTTTGGACTCTCGCAACTCGGGCCATGGAGGCAAGGCTGGTTCGGGTCGGAAGGGCAGCTCAGGTGACGACACATGAAATCGTCAGCTTCCAACAGTGAGCGTATGTCAGGAACACAGTGTAGCAGGGTGCCTGCTAGTAACGCTAGTAATAGCTCAAGTGGTAGCAGACTCGGCCTTGCGGCCTCGCGCAGGTCGTCCCGCACTTATCAGCCCCAAGCCGGCCTAGCCTTGAGCCCACTGCAGAGACCGGCCGACATCTCTGAATATACCAACATGCCGCACAGCAGGCCGGCTTGACGAGATTCGAGATGAGTAGGCACCAAATTTCTTCCAAGCCCGTGTTGCTCACGCTCGGAAACGATCTTCGCGTTGAAGATCTTAGCACTTCTGAAATGATCTCGAACTCTTCCGTGCTCCACCACGCTTTTGAAGATCAGGGAGGGTCGTTGCGCCCTCAACCTTTGACGATGTGGGAATGGACGGAGGTGCTTGACATTGGAAAAGCCATTCTGAGAGAAAAAACAGAATCACGCTGCACTTCACCCGTCGCTCTTTTTCTTCCTTCGACCTGAAGATGCACACTCCAAACAGCCTTGTCAGCATGAAATGTCGCTACATGAACCGTGCGGCTCAAATACAGTCCGGAGACTGAACCACATCATATACAACTATCATGAACAGCCCAGTCCGCAAGGCGAGTAGCAGCTTTCCAAGTTGTCCGTGCTTTCAGGGGAGTGTCTCAACTCGCACCTTTGCGGACTGCTTCTGTGGCTAATGTACTGGTGACCGCATAGAAGCCGAGCCACTGGCATATTTAGCCCTTCTCATTCTGACGCTTGCCTCTCGCACATCTCGGATCTCAGGGTCTTGCATGCAGAGTCGAGCCGGCAGGGCTCCGTCGCAGCATTGCAGGCCTTTCAGTCTCTTTTCACCTCGACCTGGGTGCTCCGCTAGGAGGTCATCTGCCATGCTAGGATGCCGAGTGAATTCTCGGAAGCTTGCGGGCAAACTTGTCATTCTCCAAATTGTATGCCTGTATCCGGCTTGAGCTCACCTTTTTCGCCGCCGAAGCCTTCGAAGCCTCGCGTTTCCTTGGTCTTTTTGCAGGGCTCTGCCGGTGCTGCCATGCGCTGTCATGATGCATTACCGCACAGCTGTCGCTCGGCAAGGCTTCGACTCGCGCACATAAACGGCTGAGCTCTCGCGACGAGCACTCCCACTGGTGGCACGTCCCCATCAACCATCGGGGTGTTGGTTGGGCATTGATTCGGACACCCACGTCGCGGTGTCCACATGCTCTGGATGGACTGTGACGAAGCAATTCTTGCCCATCATTGATTAGCCTTGTCTGTGGATCTCCTGGTAGGGGGGGGGTGTAGGAGGCTCCGAGATTCCTCGTGCTGCATGGGTTCTCGGGCCTGCTGCACACAGTCCCCTCAGAGTCGGCCGAGTGTTTTAATCGGGTGGAAAACGAACTGAAACGAACCTCGGGGGATGTCGAGTGCTTCCGCAAGGTGGCACCATCGCTTCAGATCGCATCAGACGAATTTCCGATGTTACCATGGACGGGGTCTCCGAATCTCACTCCAGGTTTATGCATGCTAGGGGCGCTTGTCTGCGCAAGCAAGGGCCGATCCTGCACTCGTACAACGGTCCTTCCGGGTCTGACGCCAAAAGGTTTAACTTGAAACAGCTCTCGGCGATCTCATAAGCCCAAGGCAACCTTAGGCAACACGAAACAAAGCAGAGTGGCAACTTGCTTTTGCTGGATGTGCTTGGAGCCCGAGCCTGAGTTCCACAAGTGCGCACGTGCCACTATGCCACTATGCTTCACTGCAACAAACTGATCGGTCCTCCTCGCCATGCTGCTCGCCTCGTCCGCGTCCGCAGCGTCCACGGCCTGCACCTGCTTTGCCCCGACCACGTCCATGGCTTTCCCACTCAGCCTGGCCAGTCAAAGCTCTCTTTGAAAACTCATGCAGAGGAACAGCCAAACAAACGGTTGCCCGAAGTGGCATATGCTACCTGGCCCTCCTCTCGATACGGGCGAAGCTTTTTGATTGAGACCATGCGGTTCAGTTCCTTTCCTGACAAGATGGGACAATCGTATTGCGCAGCATGTCCATCGTCGTCCCTGTCCCAGCCTGTCTTGGAGAGGATGACATGTGCAGGAATGCCGTAGTCTTTGGGCTGCACTTTGCGGTATTTGAACCTTGTCGGCAAATCTCCTCCAATGATGTCCTCCAATTGCAGCGGCTTGTTTGTTTGTTCCTAACTACTCTCTGCTCGGCCGGTTTGCAGATGCGGCAGTGCAAAACAAGACGCGCCGCCCAGCGACCAAGAGAGCCGAGGGTGCCCCAAGCACAAGTTGGCAGAAAGGTTTGTCGATGTTTGCAAAAGAGAAAAAACGCCGCCGCTTTCCCAGTTCTTGCTCCGTGTTATGTCGGTGTATCGTATCATCGGTGCCCAAGCTGCTCCGAGTTGTTCGTTCTCGTTTCTCGTTTCCCGTGACCATGGTCTTGCCGGTTGTTGCCCGGGCCCTCCAAAGCGAGAACTGTCTCTGACTTTGACAACATCATGTGAGGCTGCACGGAACGTCGACGACTCCTGTCGCCAGCGAAAGCGGAATGCGAGCCTGGAGTTCTATGCTCCCTGCTGCCGAGCTTGCGAAGCAATGCGCAGCATGCAAGTTCAGTCCTCGTAGTCCAGCTGAAAATACTCTTCCAGCATCTCGCCGGAGCCTGGAGTAAGGGACTGAGTCGGTTCGAGCTGACACAACAGGACCCGCCTGTGATGCCTGTGTCACCGGCTCCGACCTGCGCTCCCTTCAGATCCTGCTTCCGGAATCTCAATCGTCTGAATTTTGCTTGAGACAAGCATGCATGTGATTGCATCTGCAGTTGCCATTAAAATCCGACCGTCTGTACGTCTCTGTCCTCCGGGGGCATGCAGCTCTCCGGAACACGTCGTCGAACAAAGGAATGGGGATGTCGTCGCACCCGGAAGCACTTCGTACACAACCTGACCCAAAATCTGGGCTGGCAACTGTTTCATCTTCCGACGCCGGGTACTGGGCTGCATGTACATCGATGCCGGTTCATGAGCAACAGGGGCTTGCACGTGAAATTGTCGCAGACTTTGCAGTCCTTGGGCGGCAGAAGCCATGCATTAGCAGACGTAAAAGATTCACACGTTCATGCAAGGGCTGAACTGCAGGACTGCCTGCAGCTCGATGCCTAGATCACGATTCTTCCGCTCTTATCATGTCAAGCCAAATTGATTACAACTTCCTCAAAACAGCAAAGATCGAATTGCACAGATGGTGCCGCCGAGTTGCAAAGCGACGCTTTCCACCCGGAATAGGCTTTTGGCATCCGTCGCAGAGGAACCATAAGTCAGGGTGCACCTGTGCAGTTGTGAGGGTTACAATGAGGGGCTTTTCATTGCTACATAACGACATGTTGCGACATTCAGCCACCTCCTCGTCGTCCTCATCACCTTCCTCTTGCACATTTCCAGGCCACTCCTCTCACGAAAGCCGCACAGGTTCACCGAGGTTGGCTGCCTGGATTGTTCTCGACTCTTTCTCGAACACCGCCTCTGTCGCGGCAGGCGCCTCTGCATCCTGTGACGGAGGACTCTTTGTGTGAGCTTCGCACGGCTGTCTTGCCAGCCCGATCGGTGGGGCCGTTAGATACCGTCAGACTTTAAGGACTATGAAAGCCCGCCATGGACTGCCCCGAAACGCAGAACACAAAAACACACCTGGCAGTGGAGAACACCTTTCTGAAGCGTCTAGAATCTAGAAGATTTCGCAACATGTCGCCATGCGAGTTTTTGCTGTCCGAGCGGTCGTTTGACCCTGCCGGCGAAGGGGTTCGGGTCTCCCCGGACTGTTCTTGGCCTAGCGGCTGTGCAGGTCAGGTTTGCTTGGTAATGTCGACGGTGCAGCTGTGCGACATCAGCGGGTTCGCCATGTCGGCGCCACATTTACCCCTTATCACTGTCGTTGAAGTGTTGCTGCATTTGTCCACGGTCAATGTTTCCGATGTATCCCTAGCACGACATGCCGTGGGGACCTCGCAGCTTGCTGTGTTGCTGGATTTGTTTTGCAATATGGCGCCACATGGCATCTGTCGCCATGTTCTCGCCTTCTTTGGCTGCTTCCTCACATTGCCATCGCCTTGCGGTTTGGCCATTGGAAAGCCATGTGCATTCGGCACTCCGCCCAGGACGAAGGCCGGAATTTGCCAAATTGCCGGGGCCACGTTCATGCAACGTTGTTGCCCTTCGCGTGGCAAATCTATGTGTGCCATCCGGGTCGGACCTGGAAGACTTGAGCGGGCGTACTTGAAGCGCTTCTGGATTCTGTGGCGAAGAACTGAACTTCCGAAGCGTTCGGGCCCGTGTTGTCTCGCAATACAGTCACGACAGGCTGAGGGCAAACCATGCCAAAGGGTGGGAACCGATTCTTTGGAAGTATATACCGTAGTTGATGGTCACCTTCCTTCCTGCCAACGTCCACCAATAGGTTCACGAATTGACGACGAAGCTTGTTTGATGGTTGTACTATGTTGGAACCATCAATACAGGTGCTTTCTTGCCACGACATGGGCCTCGGCGGCCTCGGCCTGGCATCCGACTTTCCAGTGCTTCCTTGGAGAATCCGGAGGTTTTCTCATGGTCTTCAGCATCCTTCAGATTCAGCTCATCACTTGCCGAGTGGCCGCAAACCTTCGGTTGCAGCAGCCGAGACGTCCAAATCATTGCAATCAGGTCCTCGCACGAGCTCCTGTCAAAACTTCTCATGATCTACAACCTTCAGGTCGCATCTGCACAGTTCCTTGGAGGTAAGTGTTTCTTCCTTCTCATCGTAGTCCTCGCCCAAGATCTTGGCCTCGATACCAGAGCCAAATGCGTATGTCTTGGACGCTTCAATCCGCTACGTTTCGGGTCTAAGTCCAAGTCCATAGTCTGATCGTGCTCAGATGGGTCGAAGTCATCGTCCAGTTCTGCTGGACCGAGAATTGAATCCTGCTCTGCAGATGTTGCACAAATCAGCAGTACAGCAAACTCCAAATTGTAGAGCTGACCTCGTTGCCCGTTACTTCGCGGATTTGCTGAAGTCTGCGTTTGATTTCCTTCATGCATCATCCCCACTGAACATACCGAGGTTACCCTGTGCCTTCAGTGCTGTATCTCGACTAACGGAAAGTGCACCTGCTTCTTTAAGTTCTTGAGCCTCTTCAATTCCTCCGCTCTTCGCACCTGCACTCACAACGAAGCAGATGGATGCTTCAATTCGCTGCCATCCCTGCCGTTGCAGTCTGACAGGCGCTAGCCCACATCCCTCTCTAAAAGCTGGCCGGCAATGATGTCATGCCTTGGGCCCTAGGCTACAGCTTTTGCGTGCAGGCTCAGAAAAGGAACTGTGGTTGGTGGCGATTCTACGCCTTCTATTGGCGATGTCAGGCACTTGTTGAATACTTCGCAAGTGCTTATGAATGTCAGATCATGCCAGCCTGTTGCATATGACCAAGGAGAAATAGATAGATTCGTTTCAACAGCGGGAAGCATCACAAAAAGTAGGATGGGCGCCAAAGCTCTGAAGATCTCTGAAGTACCAATTTGGCCTTCTCTGCTTCCTTCCGATCGGCTCGCTCCTTTCGTTGGCGCTTTCTCTTTTCCTCAGAGAGCAGCGCGCAAGCACTGTTGCAGCACTGGGCAGCTTCTCGAGCAAGCCACCGTTCCGCTTTCAGGACTTCGTCTTGTGATGAAGCTTTCAACAAGGCAAGCTTGTGTGCTGTGCGGCTGTGTTGCCAAGCCTTTAGGATGGCGGCAGTGCTTGTAAATTCAAGGAGACATGTAATAGGAAACAGAATCAGAATGAACAGAACAGGGTCAAGAGCAATCAGTGAGTCTGGGGCCTAAGATACGACTATTGAACTGTGGAGGAGTGTGACATATGTGGCACTGGACCCGGCCAAGCCTACACAGTAAACCGATACCGAGAAAAGCGGGTTTTGTGTCTATGTCTATGTCGATGTGCTGTCTATGTCGATGTGCGCGCTGCGGTCCGCGATGGTCCGCAGGAGCGGCGCGCCCACCTCTCAAAGGAGAACTTCTGACTTCAGAACTTCTCACGGAGACACAAAAAGTGTTTTGACACGTCATCGGAGACACGGACGCGCGCGCGCTCTCTTTATAAAGCCGTCGCTTGTCGAGCGTGTGGTCTTGTCATCAGGCGTGGAACTCCGCCTTGTTGCCGGTGCGATGACGCTAAGGCTCAGACGTTCCGATCGCGAACAGAGTTTTCTGGAAATCCTTAGCTCACATCTGACAGTCGGAGAGCGCTGCAGTGGACTCTTGTAGCCTCTTGGAGCCAGCCGCTTCAACCCTGCGATTGAGAGCCGGGCTCGCATGACTTTGTATGTGCTTGCCCTCCTCAACCTCGTGAAAAGCGCTGGCTGTCACGTAGACGGCACCAGGATTTACCAAGTTTGAAACGGATGAAATGGTAGTTCGTTATCCACTGCCTCGAATCTGAAGTTGTACTCCTTCTCAAACTCGTCTGCCTGAACAAGCAAACCTGTAACTCAACCTTTACTTGTTGAACAGCTGTTTATGTTGATTCTTTGCCGTGGTCTATGCGCAAGTGACAGGCACAAGACCTGGCCCAGATGCTCGTCCTCTTCGTCCTCCACATCAAAATCCATGGTTTCTTTCTGGCACCAGCTTCAGTGACAGTTAGCTCAGGAATTTAGGGCGTCATTGGGTGTTCACTATAGAAGCACTCGAAAAACTTGCCAGAAGGACTTTGCCATGAGCTTGTTGAAGCGAGTCCGTCTCCAACCACTGTCGGTTTATCACATAATCGCGCAAGAAGCCTTGCTTCATGTGCATTCTGATTCCGAGCACAAAGCCTTGAATCTCCGGTTGGTGCAGAAATTGAGGCTGCGAAAGCATCAAGAATCAAGACAATGCCTGAACAACTTTTGCTGTCGACTTGGATAGATGTCTACCGGTATGATGCGAAAGTCTAGAATCTAGAAAACATGCACACCGCACGACCCAGCGATGCAAAGAGCTGCCAAGATTTGCTTCAACGTTCCGTCCAAACGTCCAGAGAGAAAGCCTGCGCCAAGCTTATGGCAATCCCCAAGAGCTGTCAATCAATGCCATCGATTCCCCAAACGCGACAGAGCAGGACCACAACTGTCATGGCTCAAAGACGTCTACATATACACATTACATACATACATACGTATATGTATATATATACATATATATATATACAAAACCATTCTAGATCTATATATATATATATATATATAGACGCGTATCACATATCTCACTCCTCTGGCTTCAAGATAACGGGTTGGATTGAATCTGGCCCTGTCAAGAATAGCTGCTCTTGTTGGGACTGCTGCAGGGGTTTCACTTGCCCCGCGAACCCTCATCATCCTTCATCATATGTCCCGCAGTCCCGCAGCGTGAAGTTTCACCAGTTGCAGGGCTCCCTTCTGTACATAAGGCAATCTGAGGATCTGGAGATTCATGTCAGTAGTGCGCTCGCACTGGTCCACTTCCGTCAGCACATCTCACCCCTTCTCAAGCTCGGCTTCGTGTGAGCCCTGGGCATCTTCCCCCTATTTTCCCCCTGCAGCAATCCCTCGAGGCTGTCGCCAGTATTTCGTGTGGTGCAATTGGTGTCAGTTTGGGTCCCGTTAAGTGCCCAAGGTCAGTATCAAAGCCAGCGCCTTGGCAGTAAGAGTCTGAGCCGTTCGCGCTCGTTCTCGTCCAAGTCTTCGTCACCTCGCCAATAGTTTGCCATGACCGCCTGTCGTTCCGGCACCCTCCCTTTAGAGCGGCAAAGGTGCTTCGCAATCGCAAGGAGCAACTCCCCAAGAAGCGGCGGCCTCGGCGTTGTCGCCTTTCCGCTCGGCTCTGGACTGGAACTTGGCAAACTCCTCAGCAGACTCTGGAAGGAAAACGAAGCTGAACTCTCAGTCTTCCTCTTCGGCTCCTCGTCCTGCCTCTGCCTTTCCTCCAAACTTTGCTCCTTGAGAGAGAACAAGTCGTCGCCTGCACATCTTTCAGCTTCCAGGCCGCTACAGCGTGACATCGTCTCGTGGCCTTGGTCTTCCTCCGTTGTCAGAGTCCCAGCTGCCTGCCGAATTTCGTCCTGCAAGTCCCGCTGTTCTTCAGCAGGCGTTTTCCTGCCAAGATGGTGCTACCGGGCGAAGGATGCCTGGCCCTGCTCAACTTTCTGTGCCTTCGTTTCTTCGTTTCCATATGCTCCTCCTCTCTAGCGATGGCATCTGCTCCCTCTTTCATAAGTGTAGTCCTTGCAATTCACGAGCGGATGTGAGCGCACTGATTTGGCTTACCCGCACGCCTGATGAAGTTTTTGTAGGTCATCTTTTGCATCGCCGGCTTGTCTGCTTTAGCGGCTCCAGCGGAATCCTCAGGCAACACGAAAATCGTTCATTATAAAGGCCCGGCAATCTGCAGCGCAGTCTACTGCGTTCAGCCATTGCCCAGGGCAATCAATCCTTGAAATCTTCGTCGTCGAAGAAAGACGTGCTGCCTGGACGCACACACAAACACTCACACAATCCGGCTTCTCGTGTCATATCGTGCCAATGGTGCCGAGAGGCTCTGGTAGATCGAGGGGTCTTTGGCCTGCCAGGCAGGACTAGTCGTGCACATGAGCTTTGGATCTGCATCTTCGGCCGAAGCCTTGATTTTTGTCAAGGTGTCGAAAATCTTCGATTCCACGTGCTGTGTCAACAAGTTTGCATTCTCATCCTCCGTAGATTCCTGGAGTCAAGCGAGCTGCTCAGAGCTTCGGTAATGTGGTCGCTCATCTGTCCTCAGAGGTGTTATCCACATCCTCATCTGCAAAAATCTGCGCAGCCCTGGCTGCTTCGATCCTGTCTTTCTTTTCGTTGTACCTAAGCTCACGATGTGCAGAGAAGCATGAACACGCCACACCACCTGCCATAGCTCATGCAGACAAGAGACTTTTTGGCGTACTTCGCCGAAACGGAAAGCCTCAACTGATGGCTCGGGGCTCATCGTGTGCTGGCTTGTCAAGACACCCGCTGCACACGCAACAGAGGCACTGCTCGTCACGGGCACCATCGCCAAGAAGGTTGCCAAGTTTGCCTATATGCACTGCAGGAAAGGATGCAACCAATCCCGTGATCGCGTAAATCTAAGCACATGACCTTTCTTTCTCGACATGGGGGGCTGAATGGCTACACGGCACACCACATGCTATTGCAAACAATTGTTGGAACTAAAATTAAAAGTTTTGGCGTTGTGCGATTTCAAATAACTTAGCTCTCAAGCTTAGCATTTTTCGTGAGCGGACGGTCGCAATCGCTATGTCTGTATCATCACCTCACGCGATTTGGAAAGCACTTCCAGTCTAATCCAAGAACCGGCTGCGCTCCTGCAAACCGCGTGATTTGCAAGATGCTTGCTGGCAGCGATTTTTTAGACAGATGAGGTGTCGTAGCAGAACGATATAGAAGGATGAGAAACTGCTCGTCACGGGCACCATCGCCAACAAGGTTGCCATGTTTGTCTATATGCACTGCAGGAAAGGATGCAAGCAATCCCGTGATGGCGTAAATCTATGCACATGACATTTCTTTCTCGACATGGGGTGCTGAGTGGCTGCAGGGCACACCACATTCTATTACAAACAAGTGTTGGAACTAAAGTTGTCGCGTTGTGCGATCCCAAATAGCTTCGCTCTCAAGCTTACCATTTGTCGTGAGCAGACGGTCGCAATCGCTATTTGGAAAGCACCTCCAGTCTAATCCAAGAATTGGCTGCACTCCTGCAAGCCGTGATTTGCAAAATGCTTGCTGGCAGTGCATTTTGCTCTTTAGACACATGAGGTGCCGCAGCAGAAGGATGAGAAACAGCGTCTACAGCAGCGTCAGAGTCACCTGACAATACTTTTGATCATTCGGGGCGGTGCAGCTGTACAGCAGTCGCATCTTCTCTGGCCTGGCTCCGTAAATCATAAGGCCAGGCAAATCCTGAGAACACCATAGAGAGTCCGGCTTCTCCAGGAAAACAGGAAAACTACTCATCCTTCTGTGACATCTGTCCATGTCCGTCCTCGTCGCCCTCTTCCGCCTCCATCTCAAGGAGCAGCTCACCTTCGGCAGGTTTTGAATGCAGCCTCTGCCACAAACACAACTGCAGGCTCACCAGCAACTTGCAAGCACCGACCGTGCCCTGTGCTCGCTCTGAATTCGAAGTCGTTCAACTGACCGCGAAGACCTTGGACAGCCTCGGGATAGCGGAATCGTCAACGCTACTCAGCCATTGATAGAAGTGTAGGTCGCAAGCAGGTGCTCTTTCCTGAAGCTCATCTAGGAGCTCCAGCACAGAGACCTCAGCCAGTCACAGGCTCTTGACCAACACTTGCCCAGAAGCCCACGGCCTAACACTTCGGAATGGGTGATGAGGTGCTTGATGCTTTCGCTCAAACCCCTCAATAGGATGAAAACAATTGTGTTGGCGGCTCAAGTCTTCTGCTTCACGACGGCCGCTCAAGCCGGTCCGTTGAGTTCTTATGGATGTCGACTGGAGGCGTCGCCGTTCCTATATGAAAAAGCACATGATTGACACACGTCGCCTCAGTCGGACGGGTGGAAGCTTCCTCATCTGTCATGCCGTACCAGCGTCCTGATGCCGCCGAACCAATTAAGTGCGCAGTGCCTCAACCCGTGGCACTGACCATGCCTTCTGAATGGACGTCTCCGGGCCCTGGCCAGGAAAGCGAGCACAATACCGCTCGAAGCTGTGTGCTTCGAGTGTGCCTGTTCGTCGGGCTCGTGCTCTTCCCCGGGGAACCTTGCCACTCGCTGGGTCTCGGACCGATTGTGGCCCGTGGCATTTGCATCCAAACAGAAAGCAGTAGGCCCAAACCGAGGAAGCTGCTTTGTACCTTCTGGGTCTTCTCTGCCGAGGTGGGCGCCTGCTGTTTTGGAAGGCACCGCCAATCGATGACTGACATTGGGCTGGGAGAGCTACGTCGCAACATAGTTCACCGTGCAGCGTGCCGTGCATGGAATGGCTCTCTTGAACATGGCGAGTTGCGAGCAGAATCCCGATAGCAAGGCGGGCCAGAACCTATGATTCACTAGCAATTTATCGTGAGCGCCGATTTCGAAAATGAAAGGGTGCTACCTTTGTGCTACCAGGACAAAGGAAGACCAGTGCACTGTCCTAAAAAAACAGTGGTATGTACATGATGTGCTCACGACCCATGATTCAGAGCTCAGAGAAACAGACAGTGATTCACACTCAACCTGTTCTCTTGTCTTGAGCGTCGAAAATCCTATACAGGCTGTGCAATCATGTGCTTTTCAACCACATAACAAAATGGTATGATACTCCGACTTGGTAGTATCATCTTGCGAGTGATGTCTGCGGCAAACTCAGCTGATGCCAACTACCGGGGTATATGGTCGTCTTATTCAGCATCTGCGAAATTACAACTTAGCCCGACTGACTGACTTTCTACTCACCAGACTCAAACTCAATCAGTCGAACGATACAGTCCGGTTTCATTGACTTCGTGGCACAGTCAGCGGCTTGCGTAGCCGTGTCGATCCAGTCCACACGGTCTCCTCCACCGGGGTAGACCTCACAAGTTCGATTGCCATCTTCCGTGAAGATAGATTGGCGTAAGGCCTTAGCTCGATTTGTAATCGCTTATCTTGGACGCGTGCGGGTGCATCGGAATTCAATTGGTCGGCGAGCCGGCTGAGCTTCTACAATCTGTGAGGCCTTGAGGCCGCGGCCAAGCCCCCGAAACCGCGGAAGCAGGATGTGGGGAACAAAGGAGGCGAAAGTCGCAGATGCAGCAATGCGGAGTCGGAACACGAGGCTTAACATTCAGAAAATGAAGCGGGAAATGAACCGATGCCTGGGCCCAAGACCCATGCTGAATCCGAACACGGGAGAATTCGATCGGCCTGACCTGCAAACCGTTCAAATCTCGTCGTGTGTTAAAGTCGCATGATGGAGTTTAAAGGTGGCGTAAGCGTAAGGACTGGCTTGCACTTTCAGCCTTGCTGCCTCCCTGTGCCCTGGCCTGAATCTCGCAAGGCAGAGGTCATATGATCGCAATCTCCCCATTCCAAGTTGCGAGTTTTGTACAAGGCGAAAGCCTAGAACTTTGTCAGGCTTTTTGGGATTTAGAGTCGGGAGCTCAAGCAAAAGAACATTAACACGATCATAGTTTTCATCCGCAACATACCTCAACATAAGCTGCATGTGTTTGCCTTTTTTCCGGCTTGTTTGCCGACTCGTGGCTATCGACTTGAAACACGGCGCCTGATTTCCGCAGCATCCATCACGTTCCCGCTCTTATATGAGTTGTCGAGCTCAGGAGTTTCGAGGTCAACGCAGCGATGCGAAAACCCAGACGGCTTCGGCACTGCATGGCGCCACTGGGCGGAATGCGATGACACAGGTGTTCGTAGGATCTGAATCTGCATTCCCTCTCTCTTCTTCAACACAGTCAAGGAGAAGGCGAAACCCCCTCCCGCGCGCGTGCGCGCCCTGCTGGTTCGGCTGGTCTGTTCGCTAAGGCAGATGAGGCCCTCTTCTGCACAACTGCGACACCCCCCGTACGTATACTAATCAACCACCAGGCCTCATCTGCTGGGGCGTGCACCGGTTCTGTGGTGGTTGGGAGGCATCTGTCGCTGCCGTCCAGGTGGCGGAATCAGCCGTTGCACCATCAGCTCCCATTGTGACGGCGGAAGCGTGTAGGTGCGGGGGAGCCCCCCTTGTATGGCGCCGGTATGCATCATGTGCCCCCAATCATAGTAATATTGGAGAGCGATAGTCGGCGGAAGGGTGCCTAGTTCCCAGGCGCCTCCTCTCCCCAGTTCCAAAGTGAAAGACGAGCCTGGCCTCATCTCCGCTGCTTCTTGGTCTTCTTGCGCCGGGGGAGGCCCCCCAGTGATGTGGAGTAGCCACTTACGTGGCCGTCCGTTCTTCAGCGCTCCCCACGGAAAGAGCGCGAACGAGGTAGAGATGCCCATATAGCCCACAGGGGTGGCCCCTCCTTGCCTCCTCGTGAGGCGCGCTCTCCAGTAGCCGCGGACTGTGCTTGTATACTCTGGCGCTCTTCTCGAGCCGGTGGCCATGGTGACGCCGGCCCAGACTCCATGCGGAAAGCTTCTGAGGTGAACGTCCACCCCCCATGCCGTGGGGATCTCCGGTGGGAAAGTGTCTGGCCGCGGAGCTCCCCCTGCTGCCAGGTACATGGTGTGGAAAAGGCCATCCCACTGGAGTGGTTCTTCCCCTTCGTCTTCGTCTGGCTGCGTCTGCTGCTGCGTGCTGCTTGGGCTTCCTCTGCGTCGTCTGGGGGCGCCAGGCGCTCCCCCCGCTGCTTGCGCTTTTTGGGCGGTTGCCCTTGTTGGCCTTCGGCCCCCCGACTGTAGCTGTTGCAACTCCTCCGGTGTGACGCTTCCCCTCGGCTTCTCGTGCAAGTTCAGCAGCCCCGCAAAGTTGACTGGTTCGGAAGCGCTTTGCTCCCCCTGCGGTGGAGGTCTGGGTCCCCCCTGTGCCGGTGGGCCGGCTGCTAAAACGGCTGCCCAGGTTTCTTCTTCGTCATCTTCATCCATCCCCACTAGATGGGCCACGGATTTCCACGTCTCCTCCTCGCTTTTGTGCCATCCCCGCTGAGCAAAAGCGGCTTGTACGGCAGCCTTGAATCGCTTCCCTCTCATTCTCTGATCGCCCCGGCCTTCGTGATAAGGCCGCTGCGGCATCGCTCTCCCCCCTTTCTCATCTGGGGTGTCTTCCCACTCCGTAGGTGGGTGCTGTGCTGCGTGGTCAGCCGGCTGCGTCCCCCCTGTATGTTGTGTGTTCCCCGCGGGCTGTTGTTGTTCTGCTTGTGTCGCGGGCGGCTCCTGGCTCGAGGCTGCTGTGGGGTGGGGGTGTTCCGGGTGCTGCGGGTCTGGGGGGCTGTGGTCTGTGCTCTCTGCCGACGCTTCGTGGCCTTGTGGGTTTGCGGCTGCCGGGGTTGGCTTGCGGTGGGGGGCGCCGCCATCGCTCTGCTGTTGCGTCTGCGTGGTGGTTGCAGCTGCTGGTTGGGCCGGGGGCGCGCTGGATGTCCCTGGCTGTGGCTGTTGTGGGGGGCCCAGGCGTGCGTGTCGCGGTTGTTGTTCGCCATGTGGCGTGTCTGTTGCGGCCGTGGGGGCTGTGGGTGGCTGCTCGGGCGCCGGCTGTGTCCATTGGAGCGCTCTTCCCCAACGGTTGCGGATGGGTTGTGGGGGGCCCTGCTGCATTGGCTGTGGCGGGTCCGTGTGGGGGACCGGTTCGATCTGGGCTGGTTGGGCCTGGGGGCAAGGGCTTGGCCCGGCTGCGCGGCTGGCACGTGTGTTGTTCCCCCTGCGGCTGTTGTTGGTTGGCAAAGCTGTCCATGAAGTGGTGGGTAGGGTGTAGCCCCACCGGTTGGCTGCTGGCGGGATGTTGTAGGTGAGGGCCCCCTGCTGTTGCGTGACTGCGGCTGCCTGCGGTGTGGTTGGCATGGTGGTATGGGCCGTCTGCTGCTGGGGGGGGTCATCCTCTTCAGGGTGCCACGGGTCTGTCGCCGGGTCGTAGGCCGGGGCGTAATATCCCCATGCGTCTTTGGGGTTGTGTCCCGGCTGCATCCCCCTCGTGTGTGCTGTCGTTGCGAGCTGCTGTGCTGGGGCGCTGCAGGTTGGCTGTGACAGTGTCTGCTGGTAAGTCGCATGTGTGATGGCCCCCTGTTGCGGCTGGGGCTGCTGTGGTGGCTGGTGCCAGTGTTGTGGAGGCACTGGGACGGTGCAGGCTTGCTGCGGGTGGGCGTGCGGAGGGCTTGCCGTCGCCCCCATCGGCTGCTGCCATTGGTGGGTGGTGGCCGTGTCTGCACACATCTGTGGCGGGCCTTGGGCATCGGGCTGGGCTGTCGGCTCCGGCGAGCTGGCCGCGTTGGCCTGGCCTTGGGCGGTCGGCTGCTGGCTTGGTGCTGAAGCGTGCTGGGCCGTCTGTGTGGCCACTGTCTGGTACTGTGGGGTGCTGTCCGTATCTTGCGGGTCCGTCTCCTCTGGTGTGTGGTCTGACCGGTGTTGCTGGAGCGGGCCGGGCTCTCCCGCCTTGCGTTTGACAGGGCTGTCGTCGGGCCTGTCTTGCTGGGGGTCCCCCGTCTGTGCTGGTTGTGTCGGGTGTGCCTGTGCCGTTGTCAGCTGCGGCGGTGGCTGCTGCGGTTCCGCTGGTGGCTCGCCGTGTGGTGCCTCTGCCTCCCCCTCCTCTCCCCGCAGCTGCAAAACTGGGTCACTGCTGCTGGCTGCTGTGTTAGGCCTGTGGCTTCGGTATGTGTGTGACCACGGGTCTTCGTGAGGGCCTCTTCCGGGTTGTGTGGGCTTACCGGTACCTGTGCGTCCCTGCCACACCAAGGCTGCCAGCAAGAGGGTCGGCAGCTTCAGCATCTCGGATCTGCGTCGCGTCTGCTATCCTAGCTGCAGTTGCTTCTGAGGGCGCGGCGCGGGCACTGGCTGGCAACTTGCATATGCATGCGACTTCACGGTGCAACTGTTCATGGTCATGAAACTGAATGTCAGGCTGGGTGTGTTCACACTAGTCTGTCAACTGGTTCGCTTCACTCGCTGGTGTGCCTCGCCTGCTGCCTGCATTGCTGTTGGGTGTGAGATTGGTGAGACTGCTCTGCTTCCCCGTGCTCCAAGGTACGTCAAAGCGTGATACAAATTCCCCCGCCATGCTCTGCCAAGTTGTCCAGTCCCTTGCCGTCTGCTGCCAGTTTACCCCCGCCACTGCAACGATCTGACGTTCCGGGTCTGCCATGGCATTGAACTTAACATGCGTGTGTCTGTCTCGTCTTGGCTTCTGTTTCTCTGTCTCCCACCATTGGAGGTCCTTCCATGCCAGCATCGGTCGCCCCCCGGGGTGTGCTCGTGCCATGTGTCCATAGAGGGACCATGTGTGGTGTAGTTGGAAGGTGCTCCACCTCACCACTTTGGATTGGTGCAGCGCCACCCGTGCCCCCCTCATGGTGCGTATGTTCCACTGTTCCCACGTCTCCCCTGGTCGCCGGGCTGGGTGCATCATACGTCGGATCTGCCCCAACTGCACGCTGTTCGCCGCCTTCAGGATGCTGTCTGTGATCGGCCACGCCGGCCCCCCCCAAAGAGCGGCCCCCCTGACCAGGGTTTGGTGTAGCTTGATCCGCCCTTTCAGGGGCGTCGGCGCGCAGAGTATCTGTGCATGCTTGTTAAATGACTTGCGTGCTCGGTGGTGCATTTCGCTCACTATGGCTGCAACCCCCTCCCCGAAGGTGATTGGTGACCCCAGGGCGGTGATCACTTCCCCAAACGGCAGGCATGCAACCTCTTCCCCCCCTATGCGAAATGTTCCCCCGTCCCCCGGTCTGCTGTGTATGATTGCTGTTTTGCCTGGGTTGATATGTAGCCCATGTCGAGCCAGCTTCTTTTCCAGGGTGGCCAATAGCGCCTGGAGGTGGGTTGGGTCGTGGGACCACAGATACGTGTCATCCATGTACGCTCCCCCGGATTCAGGGGGGGGTGGACCCTTGGCCGAGTGGAGCAGGTGGCTGGTTTCCCTCAGCGCCTCCTCTAAGCAGTCTGCCACGATTCTACTAAAGAGGATAGGGCTATCCGGTGAGCCCTGCCGAACCCCATTCGATTGGGGGATGCTGGTAACCACATCCCCCACCGCCACCTCCATCTCCCTTGCCTCAAGCAACCCCAGCCATGCACGCGCCTCCCACGGCTGTCCTCCCGGTGTCCCTCCGCCTCCCTCCCGGAGCCCCCCGACTTTGGCCGCCACCATATCCCCCATGCTCTCCTGCCACACGCTGTCGAAGGCCTTTCGAATGTCAAGTTTGATGAGCCAGGTGGGGACCCCCCACTCCTTTGCATGGCGCACCACCCGCCGCAGCACAACGAGCAACTCTGGCGCCTGTTTCCCCCGCGCCGCCCACTGGGTTGGAGCCCCATCTTGGATGATGTCCCCCCCGCGCAACAACAGAAGTTGGGCAAACCACTTGAGCACCGCCGAGCTGAGGGTGATGGGCCGTGTGTCTCCCCAGGTGGGTGGGTCGCCGGGCGTCTTGGGTAGAAGGATCGTGGTGCCCTGCAAGACGGGGGCGGGGAGCGCCCCCCGGTAGAGAAAATCATTGACCATATGTAGAAGCCTCCCCACCCACACCTCTTCCCGGAGCAGTAAGTGCAGCACCTCGTGTGTAATCCCATCTGGGCCCGTGGCCTTATGTTTCTTCCAAGTTCGGGTGGCTAGTTGCAGGTCATCAACCGTGAACGGCTTCCATGGGGTGCTTTTGCACAAGCGGGTAAGTGCCCGCCGGGTGTCGCTGAGGCGGCGTATGGTGCGTTGGGTCGGCGCCTTGGCGAAGATCCCCCTGAAGTGTGTGGCAAGGTGTTCTTGCCATCGTGGGTCGTCCGTAAGTTTGTGCTGCCACCCCACTCGGGCTCTGAGTTGCCCCACCGCTCTGTACGCCCCCCAGTCTGTTTTGCTGGCCGCCGTGACCAGTCCCCCAAACCATGCTCTGTGCTCACGGTTGCGTGCTTTGGAAACTTGTTTCCAGAGCGCTCTGGCCTGCTCCCCCGTGGCATGATGTGCCTGACGGCGTGCTTCCTTGAGCTCACTGCTCTCCCGGAAGCGTTGCGTGGGGCGTCCATGCTCTGTGATGCGGAGCGCCAGCTGGCTGATGGCGGTGTGTGTGTCTGTTTGGGTGGGCGGTATGCGTGCTTCTGCTGTGGGGCTGGTCACGTGCGAGAAGCGCCGGGCTCCCCAAGTCGGCTTCGGCCGCGGCGGTGGGGGGTGTTGGTCGGTTGGTAGGGGTGCCCAGACCATGTCGTGGTCCGATCTTGCCATGTGCCTGCTGCCCTGCTTAACCCCCCCGTCCTGCATGGGAACCCCCCGAGTCAGAACATAGTCAATGCGCCGTGCCCGTTGGGCTGTGTTGTAGGGGTGGTAGCTGGGGAGGTGGAGGTCTTGTTGGGGGGCTTGCATGCCACAGCGCGCCACCGTCTCCAGTATGGTCTCCCCCCTTCCTGAGTGGGCCCGCCACCCCTGGTCGTCTGGGTCTGTGAACGTCTCATTCGCGTCGAAGCCGATGAGCACCCTAGCCTTCCGCATGGTTGTCTCCCAAGTCCCTAGGATCTTCTCCGTCTGCGCAATGGTTGCATGGTGTGGGACGTGGCCAACCAGGCATCGCATCTTTTTCCCCCTGGGCTTGTAGGTGAGCGTAGTGGACATCCCCGCCGTGAGCAGTCTCGTGTTGGTATGTGTCATGCGCTGGTGCTTGTACATGATGGCTGTCCCTCTCCACTCCCCCTCGTTCTTGCCATGTATGATGGTCCAGTCACGTCCTTCTAAGTAACACGTCCCTGGCTCTGTGATGATCTCTTGCAGCAGGAGCACTTGCATCAGTTCAAGCTCCGAGTCCCCCCGGAAAGACTGGGCGAGGTCCAGCGCGTCTTGCGCCGAGAGGCCGCCCACATTCCAAGTGCCGAAGCGCAGTGCCGGCCGGGAGGGAAGCTGCCCCCCTTCTGTACGGTGAAACGGTTCCTGGAGCGCGTCCCATCACTGGAGCTCCGCTTTGCGGGCCCCCCAAGCGCTCTCCACCTCCTTCTGAGTCTTGTGCATGGCTTTGGCAAGGAGCGGGATATCTGCCCATCCAACCCCCGCCGCTTCCGCCCCCGCTGGTCGCTCTGCTGTGGCGCTCGCGACCTTCTGGCGGTTGTACCACACGGTGCCGGTGGCAAACTCAACTTCCAGCTCCCTGGCGCTTCCCCCTAGTTCGAGGATTGTCCTTTTGACCTTGCCAGCCAGCTTCGCGCGCCGTCGGCGCTCTGGGCTTTGACTGATGGCAATCCACAGCTTGCGCATTCCCCCCTGCTCATTGGTGCCGAGGGTCATGTTCGCATTTCGCACCCGCTGGATGGCTGCTTGTACTCGCGCTCGGCGGGCGTCCTCATCTTCAAAGGGCTTTGGTTGAATCGGAAGGATCGCATAGCCCCGTCTGAGGCCTGGCACGAACATGTCCCCCGTGTTGAGTGGTACGTCGAGGGACTTGAGGATGTCTTTGGCAGCTCGCAGGGTATCTTCTGCCGCGGTGTCAGGGTGCCACCCCCCTATGATGAGCGCCGGTTTGCGCCCACTCTCTGTGTCCGCGGTGCTCCCCGGTGCCACCGAGGATGGAGGCTTGTCTTCTAGGGCCGTGAGGCGTCGCTCCAAGGTGGCCTGGGCTTCCTTGATCTCCTGCAACCCCCTGGCCTGTATGTCGTAGCTCTTGGTGACTCTGTCCAGAGCCTTCACGGTGTCTTGGACCTGTTGAGCAACTATCGTCTCCACTGCTTGCACCTTCCCCTGCATGGCTGCAACGTCCCCCTGCATTCCGGCAAGACGTTCGGAGAGATGTTCTCTGTCTCGCTCTCGCTCCTCCGCCAGCACGGTGCGGAGCATAGTCAAGGTAAGGGCTTGCTCAGCCACTCTCCCCTTCTTGCATGGGGACTCGTCCGCAGGGTGGTCGCGCACGTCTGCCCCCCCTTCCGGTGGGCCGGTCGGCCCGTCACTCATCCCCCCCGAAGTTGCCATTCTTGATCTCGTCGAGAAAGTGTCACGATGCACAACCGCCTGGTACTTTGCGACCCCGCGCACTCGTCCCGAATCGCCACCTCGTCCCCCTCCGAGCAAAGGCCGCCGAATTTGGTGAGGTAGCTGTTGTCAGGCTCCCCCGCACGCCTCGAGGAGTGATGCCGAGGTGCTGCAATCTTTACTATGTTCGCTTCCCGGACCCCCTCAAGGTACAGCACGACCTTGCCCTTGACCCCGTTCAGCAATGGCTCGGCGGAGCAGGCAGGAATCCCCCTAAAAGGCGCCCGGGTTGAGAGTCACCGAGGCCTGAAGAAAGAGGAGAGGAAGGAGAGAGGCAAGAGCACGGGCAGGTCGGCCTCGGCACCCTTGGACCACTCACGGCTTGAGCCAAAATGGCTATTCCCTCTCTCTCTCTCTCTCTCTCTCTCTCTCTCTCTACCAGGCTTGAGGCTCGCGGTAGGTCGGACCCCTCACCTCGCATGTGAACGCGCACGTGCATGCCCTGGCAGGATTTAAATTCTTGGTATAGGGGTTTGTCCCCCCAAGCTCGGCTTTACAGAGCCTTCAGGGAAATCAGGAAGACATGACTCTCGAAACAAGCACTGCATTCCCTCTCTTTGTCTCTCTCCGCCGTGCCATGCTCAAAGACCTCGCTATGCAAGGGCGCGTGACAGCAGGCCAGACGGAAGGCTGAATTCTCAGACTTGAGGGCAGCACCGACTTTCGGAACAGTCTGCACGCTGCGCTTGGAAAGCCTGTTCCAGTCCGGCTCCGAGCTGTTGGCTGCCAGCAAATCTAGACGTCTTGATTTGCTAGCGGGATGTGCATGCGGGCCCCACTAAGCCGAGAAACATTGGTGAAGAATTGATGTCTGTCCTGACATCCAGCACTGGATAGGAGCTGATGGCATCCCTCAATTTCAAGAGTCCTGGTGCCCCGGGAATGCACCCATAAATGCCCACCTCGGATGCGTGGACGGCCCGACTCGGGATGTCAAGCTTTGCACGAGTGATCCCTGCAATGGACCACGGCAAGGGTCGGACGGAACAAGTACCCTCTCTTCTGCAGACTCCAAGACCGCACACTTCGTGTCGACAGGCACCCATCCTATCATCACGGCGCGAAGATCTTTTTCGGCTGGTTGTGCTGTACTGCTTCCACGGGCCAAGCGTTGCGAAGTTACCTGCCTGTCCCAGATCGTCGCCAGCTTTTCCCAGGACCGCCCAACCTTGAAACTGCAGGAGCCGATTTCGCATCTCCATTTCTCTCGCTCTCTCTCGCTCTCTGCCGTTGCATCCTCATCTCCATTCCATGCCCTAGTTTTTCAGAGACAGCACGAGACATCCTCGGATTCAGGCGTTAGTGCCAAACCATTTGGCCCCAAGGCCTTGCAAACGAAATCATCGTAACCTTATCGAGCACGTCTCGCAAAAGCTCGGCCACTACAGCATGAAATGTGAGACTACACCAAGCAGCCGTCTAACTCATCATGGACATCTACTTTGAGAAGCAGATCGGCCGCAAATCGGGGGTCCTTCACACGGATCAAGGCTTCATCGCACGGGAATAAGCACTTTGGGAGATTGTGTCGGAAGCACCCAAACTCTCTTGTAGCCATGTGCACGCGTGTGCCGTACAATGAGTGTGCGACTTGGTGAGACTTGCATTCCACTTCGGGCTCAGGCCTTGCGACCCTCCATCCACCGTTTCCGGCCCAAATGCAAGTCAAGCTTGGTTTGCTGGAAGCAGTCGCGACAATCCCCATGTCTCAAGCCCAGGACGGATGACACAGAAAGAAAGACAAGGCAAACCAGAATCCCATCACTGCAACGTGTTCACAGTGTGCACCGTGAGTTGAACTGGTCAGGTCTCCCGTAGGGCTTGGCAGTGGGCACTGGGCCAGCATGCACAAAGTCGTTTTCTGGCAGACGACGTGTCTTTGAGTGTTTTGGGCATCCGCTTCAGTGTTACGTTTGTTCAGCCGGCATCGGTTTCTCACAGTCTCCTTCTAAGGCCCGTTCCGGTAATATCCAAGCCGCCAAGCCGCCAATAAACATGCATTATTTATGTGAGGGCCTGAGGCTCTTCTCAGGACTGCGAGCTCCAGCAGTGAAGAGCTTAGTTCCCTTTCCATTTGTACTCTTATTCTTCCGATACTATCTAGTACTATCACCAGCCATCACGATAACCATCACTAATCCCTCCCTGTGTATGCAACACCCTCGTGATAATAATCCAATTTTCAAAAATCCTCCCGAAAAACATCTCTGCCTGTTAAAACCGTTTTGGATCTGGGGGTTCAGGAACAAGAGCAATAGCAGTTGCAAGAGCATGAGCCCGGAGTAGGAGCCAGATCCATCAAAAGCCACAGTAGAGATACGGAAAAAGACTCGGCTACTGTGACAACGGAAAAAGACTCGGCTACTGTGACAACTACCACTACCACTGCCACGACCACCACCACCACCACCACCACCACGACTACTACTACTACTACTACTACTACTACTATCACCACTACCACTACTGCTACTGCTGCTACTACTACTACTACTACTGCTACTACTGCTACTACTGCCGCCACTACCACTACTACTACTGCTGCTGCTACTGCTACTGCTACTGCTACCACCGCTACCACTACCACTACCACTACCACTACCACTACCACTACCACTACCGCTACTACCACTACTACCACTACTACCACTGCTACTACTACTACTACTACTACTCCTACTCCTACTCCTACTCCT